GAAAAAGCAACGTGACACTGAAGAATCTTATATTTGGTTTGATGTTTTGGGTGTCTTTTTATAAGTTATAGTTTTGGAGAAGACAAATAGTCTGAACTTAAAGAGAACCAAGATGTGAGCGTACAGTTGTTATGGCAATAGCAAACACTAGCATGGTTTTAGTCACACATAATAAGCAATACATTTATCGTTACTGTGACCATAGACCATTCAAACTCAAAGTATGCCTGCTGCTGTATCATTATAGGCCTCCTGCAGGCCTCATTCGATCCATGTTAGAATATCAGTGCTTTGCTGAATTGCACTGTTAGAACTGCATTTAATCAGTCTTTGGTCACTCTGTAGTTTGTACGTATTTATATTGAAGCCTTAACAGGACAGCTGTAGGCGTAGCTGTGGGTATTTAAGCTTCAGAGAACTAACCTACTTGTATTTACTATCTTTAAGTCCTACTAAAATCTCTGCAACAAAAAGAATGTATGATTTCTTTAACAATAAACTGAAGAGGCCACAAAACCAGGTATATTCCAGTTTTGAAAGTCCTTTTATCTCCCAATATTTAGCTTTTTTATTCAAATGCTTAAAATTATATAACCATTATAATCTATTTCTTAAGGCAGGTAAACTGAAGAGACAATGTGGTTAGTCCTGAGGGAAGATTAAACACAACATATTTCTTCCAGCGTCCAAAAAGAAAGCACAGTAACAAGCTAGAAGAAAACAGGATAAGACCTAAGACATTTAAAGCCCAAAATTACATGGAGACCCACATGCACAGAAGTTACTGGATGACTATCCCTCTGTGATCACAAGCTTTCTTGATTCAGTCACCATGTCACCATCACTCTTCCATTACAAAAACTTCTGAGACCTTCCTGTACAGAAAAGCATACCTATTCTATCAAATTTAGTTTCCAAAACACCCCCACCACTGTGCCTCTCCGGTCTAAATGTACTACACTTTGTTACTTCAAAAGACACATACATGGCGTTTAAGACAGGCTGAATTTGAAAAGCTGAGATGAAACAACTATCTCCATTATCTGAAGGATCAATGCTTCCCAGTTGCTTCAAATACTAAAGCTGATCATCTTCAGTTGGTATTTGCTCTAGATGTGTTCTATCTTGAAAAAAAATCTTTTTCATTTAAAATTAATCCACAATTACCAAGTGTAGAGAATATTCCCATCTCCAGCAAGTCACTTTGTCAAATGTGAGAAGACTGATGTAACCTTACAAAATTACTACAAATAAAAGATACATATAATAGTAAATAATTATTTTCCTTGGTTACTGAGGTTTCAAATAAGTTACAGCTAAATTCCACGTCTTTTTAGAAGTACTTTTTCCTCTCTCTCTAATAAGATTCTTGCTCATCTTGCTCTTTTTTTGCCCCCCCTTTTTTTAACCCAAGGACAAAGAGGAACGCAGAATTGCAACTGCAAGTACAAATATGGGCTTATATTAACTAAAATAAAACAACACTGTGAAACAGCTGTGTTTACTATGTTTGAAAAAAGCACACCATGTAACTTTCTAAATTCTTCTAGAAATTGTTACCACTATTCCTGTACTTCTGACCATATTCTATAGACTTGAATTTTCTCCCTCTAGCTGCATTCTCTATACTTTCCTTTCTCACACTAATAACTTTTGAACAAGTTAATTATGGCTATCAACTGGAAGGGAGTGTCAAAAGACTGGCATAGCCAGCAGCAGGAGTAACACAGAAAACTGATGAATGGTCTGTGGCATCCAGCAGCGTCTAATAAGCTCCACGATTCTATGAATGTATTTACATATATTAGTTTCCTCTAGCAATTTTGGAAAATTTAAGCAAGCAGATGCTTTGGAAGTTCTCTGGCTAATAACAAAGATCCAATTTACATTACGAAAGATATCCTTCCCTACGGTAATATTGACTGTTTTCTTGCAATGTTAAGGGCCAAATTTTAAAGCTATGTGAAGCTATAATAAACATCAGATCTGATGAAGCACCTGTAGCTTGTTTACTAAATCAGTATTAAAAAAAATTGTTTACTTACGGCTTGTAAGCAATTCTAAAACCAGTTCAAATTCATGTGGCATTTGGTTAAGCTTTCTTCAGAAAGGTAGTAATTATATATTCTCTCTTTTAATTACTAAAAGTGTTTATGTTAAAGGCAAGCTCTTGTACCAAATTTCCAAGTAGTTGGGCGGTAGATCAACATGAAAATACATTCAAAATACAAGTATTTAATACAATAGGAAAGAGAATCTGGAAATCTTCTTTAAAGTATTATTTGTTCAAAATATGATCCCTCAAAATACTCAAGCTTCAGTTGCAGTATCCCACACACATTACACATAGACGCACACCCACACACGAAGATATAGGCCCTTCTTTAAAGGGCATTAATTACTATGGCAACTACTGTCACTGACATAGGCAGCTCCATTTATTTTATCATTACTCATATACCCCTAGAAACACCAGAACCCCATGACATTTGGAAATGCAGTTCATAACCCAATTTTATCCTACTTTATCCAATAATTATTTGAAATACACCATCTTTTGAAAATAAAGTAACATGCGTCTTAGACTAAATGAATACACAAGACAGATTTTGTCATACAAACAAATATAGTGAAGATTTGTGCCCAAACTTTTAAGTCATTCACAGTAATTTCAGAAGGCTGAAATACATAAATCCTAGAAATATTTTATATATATGTATATAAAATATTATATAAACAAATTGGAAAAAATATTCAGGCTCCAAAGTGCTAGTATAATTGTTGGCCATGCAACCTTCTAGTAATTAGATTGTACCACATTATACATACATATAAATATACACACAAATTTACACATTGTCCTACTGAACCTCTGCTCTGTTCAGTGCACAGAACAATTAAGAAACAGTTATTCAACATCTTATATTTTTTGCTCAATGTATGACTTGACCTCTTCTGTTTCCAATATTCACCTCTTTCTCTAAATAAACAGAATTACTAAAATGTCCCTTTCACAGCACTCAAGTGTTACAGGAACTGATTTCATATTTTAAAATATCCCAAGAAACATTATTTTCATAGACAGGAAGCTGAGGCATATAAAGAGCCACAAAGTTATACAGTCCCCTTTCATTTTAGATGCTCATTTTAACACTTTTTTTTTTTTTTTAGTTCTTCAACATTGTATGGTACCTCACAGATTAAAAGCAAAGCTTCTGTTTAGTTGCTTGTGGATTCAGGTGCTCAGCAATCCCTCTAGCAAGGCCTTAAGATCTTAGGCATACCCAAGAAAATAAAAAGGAATGAGTAACTACTGGCTTGCTGTGAAAAGTTTGTTTTAGGAGCTTGTCTTGTGCCATTTAGGAAGCTTGTCACAAAGCAAAGGAGTAGTTCAGTTTTCCTGACCAGTATTAATCAGTCTTAACCCTGAATCTGTACTTTTCCCTTTTGGCAGATTCCCGTTACTTTCACCACATACCCTCCAACTACATTGGTAGGTCAGGCAGAGCAATACATGGTACTGGCATCTTATCATGTAATTCCAGAACATTTCTATTCTGTAAGAACTGAAACAGAAGTTGTACAGGGGAAAAAAGGAAAAAAAGCATACATCTGCAGAGAGAAAAAAAAAAAAAACAAACCAGCAAGAGTTAGTAAACTTTTGTTTCTTTCCCCTTTGTAGACTATACTGCACTTAGTCTGCACAGGCTTTTCTGCTCAGTTCCTCCAAGCTTAGTCCCATCAGTACTGCTGCTGTCCTGCCTCAGGCTCCTTGTCTCGGACCTCTTCTCTTTGCCTCTTCTGTTTGCCCTGTTTCCATGATTCAGGACTCCCTTGAATAACCTTGCTAAGCCTGACATAATCTTTTCTTCTAGACTTCCTTTCTTACCTCCGCTCTGCCTACGAGTCCCAATTCCTATACCCCTCTCATTTTTTGTCCAATCTGCACTTAACCATTCCCAGCAGTTCCACTAGCCAGCCTCTCTGTCCATCCTTGACTGAGATACCAGTTCCCCACAGCTATCAATATCCCCCCTTAAATTACCCCCATGATGTCCTTTGCCAGCTCTCTTGTCCCAGTCCTTCCTCCTCCTCAATTAATATGCCCTTTTTTCACCTGCCCTCATTTTCTTCTCTACAGCTTCCAGATTCCTTCACATGTAAATCATCATCTCAGCAAAGTATTATTTCCCTCATCCTGGTCACACTATTGTTCTTTAGGTGTTCAAATAGACATTAGGTACATTTGTTCGTTCAGCCTCCCTTTTCTGCCCTGCTTGGATGACAAAAGAAGATCCTCAAAAGCACAGGAGAGAGAGAGAGAGGCAGGCTTCCCTTTTCCTTTGAACATCTAGTCTGACCAATTACTGAGCCCTGAAATCTGTACTGCAGCACACTCACTCTGCAAAAAAGCACATGTGCAGTATGGTCACAGTTATATCAAAGAGATGCTCTGGAAGTCGGAGAGACTTTAGCAGCTAAAGACACAGCTATTTCTACCCATATAAATTTATATTCTTCAGAGGGTCTGCTAATCTGCACAAAATTTTGTAGCTCTCCATAGGGAAAATAAAATATATACAGCAGATAAAAGCCATCCTCCGATTTCCAGACCTAGCTCCAAATTATGAATATTAGAGCATTCCATACAAAATGTCCCAAGAATTTAGTGAGGCAGGATAATTTTACTGGGCTCTTTCTCAGTAACAGTTGAGCTATTCCGAGTAAGTATCTTCCTAAAAACTATTTCAGTCTGAGGAAGACATCCTGCATAGAAAGGAGTGAAAGGACATTTCTGTCTGAACAGGAAGAGCTGTATGCACTTAAGAGTGCTTATTTTCAGTGGAGAGCAGAGAGATTAACACACATAACAACTAGCTCTTTTTCAGTGACATTTACTTTGGAGCTGTAAGAGACACCTAAGAATTTGTGTTTCCATTAGTTCATCTGCTTTCTTGTAATGTTTGGGTTAAAATACAAGTTATTGCAGTTTAACTTACCGAACATTTTCTGGTCTCAATTTATCCAGTACCATCTCTATTAAATCAGGCCTGAATTCTTCAAGCAAATATTCAGCAGCCAATACTTCTTCTATGGGATAATACTAAAAAACAAAGCCCAGAAACACGTAGATGAATTAAACAAAACCTAATCATGAAAAAACTACTTTTTTGTAAAGGAAATAAAAGTGTATACTTCTCGTCACTACATCTGTATTGCCTTGGTAATTTCAAATTAGAAGTGCACAGATGTCTTAAAATCTTTCTCTTAAAACTAAACAAGATGGAGTAGTACTTTAACTATGCAACCATATTTTTCCTATATTAGGTAATTTTATATACTGCATATTACCATTCTTTTCTCTTGAAATATTTTATGTCTCAATATAAAAAGTCACCCACCCTTAAATACTGTTTTCAAGTAACTAAAGTAAAAATAACATGGTAAATGCTGACCCCTGGAGGATATTTTTAAAGATAAAAGAACACCAAGTACTCACAAGAGTGCATTTGGGAAAAACGAAACATAACAAAGCAAAAAAACCCAAACCAAACAAAAAAACCCACAACCCACCCCACTAAGTTTTTTAGGATTCTCTAAGAATTCAATTTTTATTTACAGTAATTTGAAGGAAAGTATATTTCAATTATCTAAAAGCATAATACAAATTTACACAATTTCAATTTTAACATTTTTTATTTAGGATCAAACAGAAAATCTCTTAAGGTACATCGCAATTTAAGAAGAAAAAACAAAATTCCTCTGAAAATTGTTAGTGTGGTTGACAGGAAAACAGGTGACCTAAGCACCGAGTACCTGCAGTTTGCCATACAGGTGTACTTCTTTTGACCAAAATTATTCTAAAACGGCTTTCTGAATTACATACATTAGATGAAAAGCTACTGTGGAATGACTTCCAGAACACAGAGTAACTCACACAAAGGGTTTTGGAAATGAGAAAGGGCTGGCGGGAGGGTGGAGACCAAGGACAATGAACCAAACCCGTGTTACAAAAAATTAAAATGTGAATGCTAAAGATCCAGAATTTGAAAGGTCTTGTCCAAAAGATGCATCGTACACTGAAGAATGCTCATTTAACTACATTCTGCATAAATGGCTAAGCAGACTAAGCAACCTGAAAGGGAGATTTTAAGTAATCTATGCACTTCTAATCTGAAATTACCAAGGCAACACAGATTTAGTGACCAAAAGCCTACACTTTATTTCCTTTAAAAACACTAGCCACAGTCTGCCCACCAACTGGAAATGAATGTAAAATTTATTTGGTTACTTCATTATTTTTGTATTGCTTGAGCAGGAAGGTTGGACAAAATGACCTCCAGAGGTCCAGTCCAACCTCAATCACTTTGTGATTCTGTGATTACTTTTCACCAAGGTCAGAGCATAATGTAACTAAAATAAAACAGACTAAAACAATCTACATATGACATTCAGATTAAAATGAAATTTTAAAAATTATACAATTAAGGAGACAAAACAAAAGAAAAAGGGCACTGCAAACCAGAGAACAACTACTTGGAAAACATCAAGCCTACACATGACATATGAAATATAATTTGACTGCAAGACCTTAGTGGTGACTCCTTAGACCAGCACAAATGTGCTTTAAAGAAGAACATCTGTTTGGTTGAATAAAAAGGGGTTTTAAATCCTTTTCATAAATACATAACAACTTACAACATTACATTTACTCATGCTAACTTATACCCAGGTTCTTCTCCAAGTTAAGAAAAACAGCTAGTATTCCTAAGCGCATAGAATCACCAAACAACAGTTCTAGCTTGGTTAATTCAAAGCACAAACTTAGTATGACTCACAGACAACAAAGAAGACTAGAAAAGTTATTTTTCTATTAGCGTTTAAGCAACTAACAGCAGAAACAGAATCACCATTCATACTGCAAAGCACAGCAAAAGAAAAGCAGTGGTGGGGAAAAAAAAAAAAAAAAGTCCTGAATCAATACTCTGCTCTTTGGAACACTGCCGGCAACTTCCTGGCCTGATTTTTGGAGACAGCAATTGTAATTGGGAATAATCCAACAAATACAGACCACAAAGACCGTTTCAGAAGTCAGAAGTCCATTTGTTAAAGAGATTTTATGCATTTGACAGAACAAAAGCAAGAGACAGCATCCCAAATAGGAGCTCCTTTAAATATCCATATGGTTAAATGTTTTCAGTTAAGTCTAATCCTTTTTAGTAAACAGAAAGACAATTCTAAAATTAAAGATCGTTATTTTAGACTTTACAAATTTAAGGTGTAGGAGCATTAAAAGAAATTCCTGCGAAGAAACCAAAAATGCCTCTGAGTAGAGGTAGACATTAGCTGTGCAATGGAGAACGGCTGCAATGCCTAAAAGTTGGATGAATTTCACTAGACAGAAAAAAACAACTCCTAAATCTTCCTTTAGTGCAAAATGAGGGAACTGAATTTTGCACAAAGTATAAAGACTAAGTGTAAGCTACATGATGATTCTTTCAGTAACAATACATAATCGCATTGGTAGAGTTAAACATTTCTAATTTGCTATCTTAATATGAACATTTCTGCTTACTGCAGTATTTCAACATTGTTAACTGCAGAAGCATTGACGAACATAGTGTTTGTGTTTATGATAAAATATTATTTCTCTAATATTTCCCTAGAGAACATTTAGCTATCAGGTAGACACAGAATGACAAGGTACGTGTCTTAAGAAACCCTGAAACGGATCAAATAGCAACTTCAGTTACTGTAAAATCAGTTCTACCAAGTACAGAAGTATAAAATGGTAGAGACTGAAGGAAATGTGACTTACTGACTGCCAAAACTAAGATCTATGCAGCATGATATTAGCTTCCTAAGTTCAAGACAGGAAAAGGACCTTTGCAAATACCTGTATTTATTAGGAGTATAATCAAACATACTGCTAAATGATTACTATATTATAAAAACAAACAAACAAACAAAACCCCCCACAAAAAACCCCAACCAACCAAAAATTCCCCCACACTTACATGCAGCATTCCTCCAAGCTTTGATGTATAACCTCGTGGTCGTTCTTTATCTTTAAATCTGAATGCCACAGCATTTAGATCCTATGAAATAATGTAGGAAGGGTTGAAAAGCATATATTAAAGACCATTTTAAGAATAATTATTGGCTACTTAATTCCTTTTTATAATGTAAGAAAAGGAAAGAGTTTTATCTACTTTATAGTAGTTAGACAGGTACCTAACACAAAAGTTTTCAGTAATATTCAAGTTGCACAAAACTCACAAGCAATTTCCTATAGTCTCACAATGTGAGGTGTTATACCAGTCTTATAAGTTCTGTTCATAGTAAGAGATCTGTCCCATAGCTCGTATATTTAGTTTTTCTGATAATTTGAAAACACACCAACTTTGATACAACCAATGCATAGCGTTCCAGTGCAATGTTCGTTGTATGTTAAAGAACTCAAGCCTTTCCCTCTTCCTTTTTTGTTCTTTTTCTTCACCCAGCCGAAAGGTAAGTTTAGAGACACAAAAAGTGTGTTTCTTTATGCTGTCTTAGCCGCAGAACTAGAACACATCATTCTTAGAATACAACGGCAAGGGTGAATTAAAGAGATCTAAGACTATAAAGTCAATGACAAGGATAGCCCATCCTTCTGTGAAACCACGCAGACAGTCCAGTTAATTAAACAATTCAGCTGAAAATAAACTCAAAAGCGGATTCTTTTCAAACCAGTTTGCCAGCACTTCTGACTCACCTCACAGCCGCAGGAGTGCTGGGGCTGATACGAGAGGAGCCAGGGAAAGACACAGGGATTAGATGGGAGGATGGAATTACCTCTTTCAAATCTTATATTTGCTTATAATGACAGTGAAACAATTCCATTGGGACTTTTAGCAGAGGGTAAAGAGACTTCTTTTACAGGTATACAGTGTCAAAATGCGAGGAACAAAGTTAACGCATCTGCAGAATTTCTACTCTTAGACAGAAGAGACTCAACAGTTTTCACCAAATAAAGCTAAGATGGAACAAGAAATCTTTACCCAAGTATTTGTAGTGAACCAATGAGACTATACGTATAAATAAAACTTTTTATTTGACACTGGCACTGAGAAGTGCAGTACTATTTAATTCTAATAGGATACTTTATATTTTTGCTCTGCGCATACGGAACCATACAGACTTACAAGAAGCATGAACCGTTAGTTCAGCAAAGACTGAAGCATACAGCCAAAGTACTCCACGAAAAGTTTTAGTTCACCTCTCAAAAAGGTGAAAGAACAAACAGCAGATTAAATGTCCTACTGCCTTTACAATCTCAACTATACAATTTGACACATGAAAGAAGAGAGGGGTAAAATAACAGTAATTTGAATTTCCAATTCATTGTTACCCTTCACAGCAAATGCTTCCCCCCTTCCAATTTCAGTGAAGACTAAGGAAGGTTATGAAAAATCCTTGTGGACAGAGGAAGATACTTCTTCCTCCACCTCCATCATACTATCATAAAACGGCAACTCGCAGCTCTATAAGAGCTTTTCACATCTACATTAAGACAGTATATTCTGAATGTACTCGTCATCTGTGTCATGTTGCGCCTTTAAAATTAATAAGCCTATTACCATGTGATTATTAAAGGCTATTTCCACAGCCAAGAAATCTGTTTCTACTTATAATCCAAAAATTTGTAAAAATACAACCACTGCATATTTCAAGTACCAATCACTGTACCTTGCACTCTTGGAAAACCCATTCTTGAGGTCCTTCTGTACGTAGTTTTTGAATATACTGAAACATGTGCAAAATAATATCCTCAACATGCACTAGAAAGAAAAAATACTTGCTTAAGAATTCACTCAGTTCTGCACAAAGAAAAAATTCTGATGAATGCAAATATGTAAGGTTTTATTTTTAACTACACCCTGATACATCAAGATATTTAAGTACCTATGCAATCCCACTGGCAAAGTTAAACATGTTTTTCTCAGACATGAATTTAAGATAAGTGTTTAGGTCCCCAGCTAATTCCGAGAACTGCATTGAACATCTTATGTTAAAATACTGATTTATAATATACTTTAACTCAGGTCTAAATAGTATGAATAAGTAGCACACAAAGGTATTAACAGCTTTTCTCTTAAAGAAATTTACTTTAAAATATTTAATGAAATACTTTAATATAACCTCAAATAAGTCGGTTTCTTATGTTAGATGAAGTGTGTTAGCATACTGAGAGGATCTAAACACAGAAGAATAACCAGTTAATTAAAATAAATTGGCTTTCAAGCTATAAACGCAATTAGTTTCTTCAGATACAAACACAAACCCATCAGATCAGGAATAACATGGACTGCAGACATAGCGCTTCACTTACAAAGCCCTTCCTCTGTCAAGTCCACATTAATGATGAAAAACATGAAACCTCTAGCACCTTCCTTCTGTCCTCCAACAAGAGTATTTACCCATCCTATGAAATCAAAAAGAAAATATATTACATAAACAAATCTGTAACAATTTATGCTTTTTTTATGCTTCAGCAACATTAAATTACCTTTTTTTTAAATCTTTTTTTTTACATTTTGACTGCTTTACATGTTCTCCTTTTCCTTAATGCCTACAGCAACAGTGCAAGTTAAACATAACACAAGTCAGACCTATCTGATTTTGTGCTCAGAGTGATATGACAAACTCAAGATCATTTGACTACTGGGTAATTTATTTCTGTTTGGAACACAGTAATATAAAGAAAAAATAGCGAAAGATACACTCTTGTCTTCTAGACATTAAGGGACCTGGCAGTAGTCTCTAAGTCAGTGACAGACTAGAGACAAGATCATTACATCAAAGTTCACAGAACTCTCTGAACAGGGGTAGATAAAGGGGAGTGCAAGAAATAATAGCTTCAGTAGTCAGAGTGCCTGTTATTTTTTTATTTTTACTCACCACAGAAACAAAAATAAAGCCCCCAACTGTTTGAGTAAATTGAGTTGTAAGTGATTTTGCACTTTAAATTGAACATACAGAGGTCAATTTTAAGTGAAACGTAGCTAAGCTTTAAAAAAATGTGTAATAAATTACTTTTTAATTCTTTACCTTCAAAGGACCTACCTTTGGCTTTAAGCTCTGATAAAAGACTCCCCGGGCCTTCATGCCCAATCAGATGACCAAGGTAATGGCCAGGGTTTGATTTATAGTACTTTTGAAGGTCTGGTATAGGAAATGTGACATAAAGATTCCTAATGTCCTTAATAGGTACCACTTTGTAAAGTTGCTGAGGGGGAAAATAAACAAGGAAATCCATAAAGAAAAGGAAACTCTTGTTATTTTTTCATCTCGGAGCACACATATTCCCTTCACACACACACATTTTGTTACAAACATATCAACAAAATCTCAAAAGTAAAAGGTGTCTAAGTCTTTGGGCAACACTTTGGCCATTCATGATGCAAACAAAAAGAGAATTAATTACCTCTCAGTTGCGTACAGCTGCAACAAAATGTACAACGTTTACTATGAACTATACAAAACTATACTATACTCAGCATGGAAAAGTGGATGGAAAATTAAGAGAGAAAGATGAAACTTAACAGGGACACTGATACAGTAGTAGTGAAGTGCACAATGTATTACTGAAACATCATTTAATGTATACACTCCTGATGGAAGATGTATCTCTACACGTACCCGCAGATGTTCTTCTTGGAAAGGATGTTCAGGAAACTCTGGTATAGGGACATTTTTATTCTCTACTTCTGAAAATAATTTTGCCACTAAGCAAGTCAGCTCATCCAAGGATTCTAGAATAAAGAAACATTAAAAAAGCATAATCATTATCTGAAGATTCTGGCAAATCTGGATTTTGTATATTCTTTGGGGGAGACAAATTATACAGAAAAGTAGTTTTAATGGTATGATGATTATTAATGTCAGAAAGGAAATCTATATTAATACTTAAGTTTTGAACTATAACATGCTATAAGCACCATGCTTATTAAAGGAAGGCTTCTACCATGGTTAAAATAAATCCTGTAACTGGAAAAAACATCTTTAAATTTTACTGATGTATCTAAGCTGGAACTGAAGAAAAGACACATCAGATACTGAACATTTACAAAAACAAACATTCCACAAAAAGCTTAAGAGATATGGAATTACAGCTGCAAATTTTCCAGAGGGAAAGCATCTTTGCCAGAACTTGGATTTTCTTCAGCCTCAGCTCACCTCCAGTACTTCATGTACACTGTGAGCCAGGGTCATCTGTCCTAAGTGCCCCAAAATTTCACACACATCTGTGACCTGTTTAAGCACTCCCACTTTTACATCTGTTCTAGTTTCAGTCCATGACTCCAGTACTCTCCAAAAACGAGAGGAAGACCATTTGCAGAAAGAATTTGACGTTGTACATGAATTCACCTAAATTGACTCATACTGTTTCTGTTGAAATACTGCCTTCAAAATAGCTACCTGCTTAAAGAAATGCATTTTGGAGCACTTCTGAAAGTGAGAATAAGATAAGAAAGACTCATCCGTCAAGTTTTTTAGCACGCCTTTCAAGAATGGGCACTAAAGAAAAAATTGGGTGTTTCTTAGATGTCTCAAAGTACAACCTTAATCCTTGAAAGATTTCAAAAAGCGATCACCTTGTTAGTCAAAACAATCCCAGTTGGATTTAGAAAGCAGAATTTCCTTCCCTGCCCAACATATGCGTGCTCCTACACTACACCAAGAGAACTGTGCAGGGAAAAAAAAAACAATGCAAACCAAGATGGGTCACTGTATAATAAAATTTTGTGAACTGCATGTAATTCTACTAAAGACCACTATTTTTCATCCATGTCAGCAAAACACACATTCATTTAAGCTTTACAACTACAGTGAGGGTTTTCTTTAGGACAGATTTCCAGTTGCCAGGGTGATTCTTACTGGCAAAGTTTCCATTTAAAAGTCTATATGTGAACTGCTGTACTAAAGCTGTTCTATGATTACTCAGTGAATTTTGCTTTTTATTAGATTAAAAAAATTTAATTTAATTATTTAATTTTAGCAAACTTTTGAATATTTATTACTATTTGCTAGAGAAATTATATTCTGATTGCCCCACCACTTTTTACTGACTTTTTTGTTTGTTTTACATTACATATATAAAGTGGTGGGAAAATCAGAGAATTACTAGGCTGCACATAGCTTTAGACATCCATTTCTTTCAGAATGCACAAGAGTAGAGAGATCATGGGGGACTTGCAGTGTGCAACTCAACATATTTTTATGTTAAAGAATTTCTAACTATTTATTTATGTATTAATTAGCAGTACTGCTACATTGATAGCAAGGTATTTCAGCAAAGAATTTATGGAATAATGCTAATAAGGTTTGTTTTCTGTAGTTTGCTTTTTATGGGTGGAGCTCCCTGAAAATCAAAAAGAAAAATCAGGAAGAACGTGGAACTTGTAAATTTTCGAATGTGATGCTAGAGGCAAGCCCTCAAATAGCTAAATCAGTCACTAATATAAAGCCTTCTGAATGCTACTGCATAATTCTCCTGCTTGAACAAATAACGGAGTGAGAAAAGGTATGTGTCTCTTCAAGGAAAATAAGATGCAACTTTTGTCCAAATAGCACCTCACTATTAGAGTAACAACTACTTAAATAAATACGACAAAGAAGGCTGGTTGTACAGCATTTTGTATACAAGCAGACTAACAAAAAGCCTGAGAGTTACCTTTCAAAAAATTATATATTTATTTTATAAGATTGAAAGGAAAAATGCCAAAGATTTTTCTAAATATTGAACTATTTACAAGGGCAACTCACACTGAAAGAATTCGAGTGTGGAAAATGACTAGTAAAACCACCTAAATTCAGGATTTTAACAAGAATAATTTTTGTATTTTGTAATAAAAAAATATCTATGTGCAAACTGCAGAAATGTGTGAAAGGTAACAGATTTTAAGACTATTTTCTGCATTTTATTGATATTTGAAAAGCAGATCTTGTCTGTCCTGGAATATTGCCTGTCCAGTAAAGAACTAGTTAAAGAAAAAAAGATGCCTGAAAACCTTGAAAACAGAACTGTTAAATGAGGAAGAGAATTTTAATTCAATTGTTTTAAACTCTGATCATTATCTATTTACCTTCAATTAATAAATAAATGTTTTAAACAATT